AAGAGGAAATCAGGAATTAGCAGTAATAACACTGCCTCTCCCATGTTCAGTACCAACACATGAGCAGTAAGGTGTTTTGCATGCCAACCTGACAGTGTGCTTCATAGGAGTTCCTTGGTCCAAGGATATGGTAAGACACAGGCAGGTACATTATACAACTGAATGATATGGGAGACAAAGATGGCTGTTCTAGAGAGTAATCAAGTTTTTATGAAGTTACCAAGATAAAATGTGATCTTTCAGACGGTGTCACATGGTACAATTTACCACAGACAGCCCCTACATTACCTTCTAAGAAGTATGAATTTATTCCTGTGGGCGTTGAGATGAATTCTAGAGAAAAATGTGGGGAAAACCAATGGTTTCAATTCAGGCCAAAGATGGAGCCTTTGCATCTTGTCTCAAAAACTGTTGACTGTACATTATAATGGGGTGAGGGTGGGGGTGGGGAGGGAGGGGGAGCTAGTGCTGAGTCAGCACAAAGTGAATCGTTCATATTTAGTAGATTTCAGATAAGTTTTCAGTCACTCCGCTGGATGGTGGGCATCATCCATTTAACAATCTATCATCCATCCATCCATCTGTCTGTCCACCCTTTGTCATAAACTCTTTTTTATTTTTACTTTTTGTCTTTTCTTTTTTTGGCACTGGGGATCAAACCCAGGACCTTGTACTTGCTAGTCAAGCACTTTGCCACTGAGCTACATCCCATAAACTCTTGCATGTCTCTAGGTACAGGGAGAATAACAGTGAGCAATCAGGCAGTTTTTATCCTGAAGTAGTATATGATCTTGGAGAAAAAAACACTGTAAGAGAAGAGTAGTATTATTAAATATATTGGTGGCATTGAACATAGAATTATAAGGTATTCAGAAAGGAGCATTCAGAAAGGAGCATGGAGTTCTCAATGTTGAATTGTTTGCTACAGATTCATTCTCATTATGACAGTTCTTATATCACTGGGAAAACATTTTTTTTTTTAGCTTTCGATTTGTGTGTGTGTGGTATTATAGATGAAATACAAATGCTCTCCTGTGGAGGTATACCTCCAGACTTTAATTGTTAAAAAGGTTTTGTTCTCCTCACTATGAGTTTGTGTGCATTCTGCATGTTGAATATAAACGAGGTATAATTTAGATATTAAGAAAACTTTCTGAGAATATCGGTATTTATTAATTATGAAGGCCTATTTGCTGTTTTAAAGATATTACATGATATTTTATGGAATTACAATATATTCTGAGAATGAAATATCAACAACTGGTAATGCCATAGTAATTATGCTCCCATTTTGGAATCTAAATTTGAGCTTTATTTTTTCAATCCCGAATCCACATCTTTCTTCTTTCCTTCTTCAGCATCTTTCCCTCTTCCTCCTTCCTTCACTATCTTCATTCCAGCAAACACTTTTGACAGCCTAACTGAATTCCAGCAGCATAATATATAGTGGTAAGAAAGTCAACAAAAGTCATCAAAATCTATTAAAATGCCTTTCAGGAACAAATTGACCAAACATCATTTTACTCAAATACAACTTGTTAAGAGACTGGCTGCCTTGTGCAGTTAGCTTCTTTGTCCTGAATCAGGACAAATTTTGCAGTGTGCATTTGCCTCTGCACGATGCTTCTTTAAAGACGCATGAAAGAACTATTCCAATTAACATGGCAGAAATTGCTAAGATCCCCTGAGAAATTTCAGATTAAAGCCCTACAGCTCCAATGTTACTAGAAAAATCCTCTGCTGCCCAGAGTTAAGCCACAGGAGGATTCATCTGTCTCCGGTGGATAAAAACCCTCAGGTGCTTGTCCTTAGTGCTGTGGTTTGAAGAATCACAGATACCCTTGACGTTTCTCATAGAAATGCCTGTTCTTGTACATCACAGAGCCAAATGCAGCCTAACTCTAACATGTGGGACCTGGAGTCTACTGGGGAGTCTCCTTGATCCCTGCCCTTTCCCCTCGGTGCACACAAATGCAGCAGTCTTAGAGGAAAGCATGAACTGCAATGAATGGGATGAACAGGAATCATGCTGTCACAGTTTACAAAGTCCGAGCTTTGTAAATGTCTTTGCTGGGAGGCTAATTATTTGATTTTTAAAAAGTAAAAAGAAGAAAAAGTTATTAGGAAGGCTTGCTATCCAGAGCAATGCCAGATGGTAGCTCTCTTGGGAGAATATACTATTACTTAGTCATTACTAGGTTACTAAAGATTGAAAAAAAAAAGCTCCCCACTCCTCTATGCTAAGGTGATACTTTTCTCTTATAAGAGAACCTTCTGGTGAGCAAAGTCAGTTTCCTTACGCCAAATTTCTACAACTTATGAGGGACAGAGGTTTCCTGGGAGCCATTGGAACTCCTTCCTGGAGGTGATCTCAAGATTATCTCTTGAAAGCATAGTAGACTCTTGGAGACATCTCTAGTCTCTTCATACTTAAAGGTTTGCTTGCTCAGCAACCATTTTATCAGCATTTCAGAACAGGTCCAGCATTCTCCATATCACAGGTGTACCTTTCAGCTGACCCACATCCTTACCTCTGTTCCATATATGAGAATCCAAAATGACTCACTTGATGGATTAAATGCTATAACAGTTAATTCATTCTGGCTCAAGAGCTGATCTTTGTTTCTTCAAGAATTATAATTTTTCCTGGTCATAGGGCTTGAACTCTGGGCCTGGGCACTGTCCTGAGCTCTTCAGCTCAAGATGAGCACTCTACCACTTGAGCCACAGCACCACTTCTCATTTTCTGGTGATTAACTGGAGAAGAGGGTCTCATGGGTTTCTTGCCCAGGCTGGCTTTGAACCGAGATCCTCAAATCTCAGCCTCCTGAGTAGCTAGGATTACAGGCGTGAGCCACCAGCACCAGCTCCAGATATTTTTAAGTGAACCAAAATATAAACAAAAAATCCTCCAGAGACTAGTTTGCAAAAGCCCATCCTAGTGGGATAGGATGATTAAAAACAAATTTAACTTAAAAAGACATAGGAGGCTGAGATCTGAGGATTGCAGTTCAAAGCCAGCCCGGGCAGGACAAGTCCATGAGACTGTTACCTCCAATTAAACACCAGAAAACCAGAAGTAGAGCTGGCTCAAAGTGTTAGAGTGCTAATCTTGCACACAAAAATCTCAGGGATAGTGCCCAAGCTCTGAGTTCAAGACCCATGACTAACAAAACAAAAACAAAACAACAAAAAAACTAAGAACCTGTTAATGAACTGGCCAATGTGAAAAATTGTATGTAATAAGATCTTTAAAAAACCAATTTAGCAATCATATTAACATAAAAAACAGTACCATAATGTTTTGGTATATGAAAAAATGTTTTATCTTTTTTCTGGCTTTCTTCTTCAAATGTTGGAAGCTTTTTGTAATGGTAAAGTTTATTTCAACAAGAAACTGTGCACTTTACATATATCCACATGATTCCGGTGAATCACAGGATGTTAAAGCTAAGTGTGGATCTCATCCCCCCCAGGCCCCCATTTCTATTGGTCAGCCACCAGGTGACGCCTCACCAGTTGGGATGTAAGGTGGCTACTCCAGATCCTGCAACTGAGGGCGGGCAGAGCCGGCCCTAGCTGGCTAGCCTGAGTCTACCACAGCTTTTCCTATCACACCAGGCTGTCTTCCCCAATTGCGTTAGGGGCACTTAGAAAAAGGTTGCCTGACTTCAGGACAAGATTCTTCTAATCATCTGGTTCTTCTACAAGTGGAGCACAGCAAATTCCATTTAGAGAAAATGTCAGATTAAAAATTAAAATGTTAAGGTATGCCTAGACTTGCTTTAACAATCCTCTGAATTAGCTAGACTGTTACCTAGCCTTTTGGTGGGGAGGGACCTCCAGATGTTTGGAATGTTCCTGTCATTTGGAAATCATTGCACAATGGCTAAATTCACCAGGTGACTCCTTCTCACCATCTGGTGTGGAGCAGATATTTCACAGAGCTACCAGAGTACCTTCTGTGATTTAAACAAATGAACAAAATTTTTTTTCAAATGTAAAATGCTCTCTTTTTAATTACTAAATTAAGAAAGTTAAACAATTTAAAAATGTAAAACTCACAAATAAATCACAACAAAAAAGGAATTAAGACCTCAGAGTCACTACTCAGTATTAAAAACTCAATAGAAAAAGGATTTTTGATTTGTTGTTGTTAAACACATGTAATTCAAGGTTGGTACAAATAGTAACTAAAAATGTAATATTTTTTGTGCATCCCTATGAAATGTAAAGTAGTGCATAGTTACTCCACTGGCGAACTCTTGGACATATAGTCATTCATTAGCAGTACAGGACATTTAAAACACTTATTTTACAATGGGACATGTATACCACCCCTCTGACCTTCCCCATAATTTTTAGTTGCATGAGAAAGTTTAGTAGGTTGCCATAACTACAATGCTATGGGTTTTAGATAATTACAAGATTTATGAAATAACAAAAACCATTAGAAACATTTCAGCATTCATATTTTTATACAAGAAGTCTGTGTGGCATCCGTCTTCCATTTCTCTCCCTAGGACTGGCTGTTTGCTTGCTTAAATATGCTCATTTTTACCTTTTGGGAACCAATTGCAGTTAAGTTGGAGCAAATACTGGTAATAGCACATATGAACTCAGCTCAGGGGTTTCTGAAAAAAGTCAGAGTAATGACCCTCTACACTGTAGATCTACAGGTATAGCCATAAACCAAAAAGAAAAAGAAGAAAAAAAGATGCAATCCAAATTAAAAAAAAAAACAAAACACCAAAAAACCATGCTTTTCAAAAGCCAAAAAATAAGGGTACTGGCTTTCAGAATACCGCCAACGCTGTGATGAGGTTTTGCAGTCAGAGCTTAGTCTGGGTCCCACAGCTTCATAGCCCAGGTTGGCCATGGCCTCCACATTAGCACCCACATGGTATATGTACAGGGACATATATATATATATATATGTATATATATATATATATATAATCCATATTTATAAAAAAAGAAAAAAAACCCAAACACCTGTCTTGATTGGTTTTTGTTAAAACATGAAAAAAAATTTTATTGTTTTAGACAAAGAGGCCACTTTTGGAAAATAATACTTTTTTTTTTAGTTGAATCAGGTGAAGACAGAGTTAAAATCACATAGGATTTGCATTTTAAAAAAAGGAAAGCACGAGGATCAGGATCGTTGGCACTGGAGTAACTATTTACACTCAACAGAGGTTTGGCCTTTTACATAACATCGATACAATGCATTTCCAAAGTCTGAGAAATAACAAGGTTCTGTCTCGTATGCTTCACAGAGGAGGTTCGGATTTGGGGGACAAGTGTCATTAATGAGGGCCATGGAAGTTCGTCAGCTTCAGAGTCACATGCAATCTGATCCTGGACGGTTCTCGCTGCCTGGGGCAGCTGGCTACAGAATTGGAAGCTAATGGGGAGGGGTGGGGAGACCTCTGGACAAGGCCTCTCTGCAGACCCAGCTCTCACAGGTTTTCACCAGGCTGATACTGGGGCTCTGTGGCGGTAAAGTAGTCTTCCAGGAAGCCCTGCAAGTACTCAAAGGTAGGACGTTCTTCAGGGTCCTTTTTCCAGCAGTGGATCATGAGCTCGTGCAGAGAGATGGGGCAGTCCTGTGGACAAGGCATCCTATAGCCGCGCTCCACCTGCTCCAGCACTTCCCGGTTGTTCATGCCTGCAAAGACAAGGGTGGTGAGAACTGGCCCTCCTGGGCTCCAGACCCTAAGCACTGTGCTGGAACTTGCCTTTCTTCTCCTCTGTGTCTGCACATGCTTAAAACACAAGGAGGGCCCCCAACCCATTCAGGAGTTGAACCTTGTCTTGAACAGGGTATCCTACTTTATAGAAATAACAAAGGAATGCAGAACTCACATATGCAAAAACCCAGACAATGAATCTCAAATGCATTATAAGTGAAAGAAGCCAGACACAAAGGGCGTCATACTGTATGATTTCATTTATATAAAATCCTAGAAAAGGTAAAGGACTGGATAGAAAGCAGATCTGTGGTTGCCAGGGGGAGGGAGGGACATGTGTAAGGGGTCAAAGGGGACTCTGAGGGGGTGAGGAAAATAGTGTATCAGGGCCAGTGTGCTCTCTCTGTGAAGGGTCAGCAACAGACATTTTTGGCAGTGTGGGTTGCACACAATCTTTTGTCTTTACAACCCTGAAAGAAGTACAAAACAAAACAAGCTGGGAGGCAGGTTTGCAACTCCAGTGTTGTATGGTGATGTGACTGTTCACTGAAACTCATTGACGTGTAGTCTTAAGGTTGAGTTTTCTTGTATGGAAATTATACTTCAATCAAGTGGACAAAATACATGAATAAAGTAGAGAAAAAAAATTATGCCACGGAATGAAAATATACTGATTCTTGTCTATGGCTACTGTAAGCCCCACTTGTAATTCCATAAATTGGTTTTCTTCATGGGTGGGCGAGTTCTTGGTGCACCATGTGAGATCTGTTATGCCAGTGTGTCTGGGCAGCATCTGGACTGGTGACCCCACGGTGCCCTGATGTTTGGTGACTTTGATGGGTAGACAGGATGTCTCCAGGGGTGCATGTGTACGGATGACCTCAGCTAGGCCATCTATCATTGAAACCTTGTGGACCCTCTGGGAGAGCAGCCTGATGCTGAAAGAGGCTGCAGGGCATTAGGACGGCATGGCGGGCCAGTGGGAGCAGCTTCCTGGGGTGCTTCTCGACCATGTGGTTTTAAAATACCACTCATGGGGTGGGGTAAGCCCTCACCCACTCCCAGCTACTGCCAGGAACTACTCTTCACTTTGCTTCTCCTTTTTGCGATATCGTGTTTTTTCCTCTCTTTGCCAAGATCTTGTATGTTTTGGCTACTCTTTGGCCATGAGCCTGTCACATGGAATCTTCCCCAACTTCTGACTCAGTTAATTTACAACAGTAAGAATTTGATTTCAAACTGTACACAGACATCCAGACTTGCTTGCCTACCCCCAGTCTGTTGGGCTGTCAGGAGCAGAACACAGTGTAGCTTCCTTTAGTTTGGGGAAAGAGATGCAAACTGTTAGCCAGAACTTTGTCAGCCTGGCCAGAGGATCTGAGTCCAGGGTGTAACCCTTGTCCCTGTGGGTAAGAGTCACTCAATCAAGACTTTTCGAGCTGGGGGTATCCTGGCTCTTCCTGGCTGTCAACAATGGTCTTCTCAGTTAGTCACCTTTTTTGTGAAAATACTGTACAGAGGGGTTACAATTCCATGAGCAAGGTAATGAGTACATTTCTTTCTTTCTTTTTTTTTTTTTTGTTGGCCGTGGGGCTTGAACTCTGGGCCTGGGCGCTATCCCTCAGCTCTTCAGCTCAAGGTGAGCACTCTACCACTTGAGCTACAGTGCCACTTCCGGTTTACTGGTGGTTTATTGGAGATAGGAGTCTCACAGTCTTTCTTGCCTGGGCTGGCTTTGAACCGCGATCCTCAGATCTCAGCCTCCTGAGTAGCTAGGATTACAGGCGTGAGCCACCAACGCCCGGAATGAGTACATTTCTTAAAAAGCATTGTTGCTTCCCCCTTTGTTTTCCCCCTACCATCCCTTCCCTCCTATCTCCACAACTACACTCCCCCCTCCCCTACCCCCGCCTAAATGGTAAAGTTCATTTTTCGATATAGCGTCTTGTACATCTCATTGTTGCAATGGGTCAACCTGTATCCCTATTTCTGAACCCTTTCAGGGTGCTTTCTTAGTCTATGCTGGAGGTAGTAAATCTGTCTAGTTTTTCTATTATGTAAAGCAGGCCTTTACTCTAGCTGTTATAAAACAAGCCCATTTATGTCAAAACAACAACCCTTGTTTTAGGAGAGGCTAGCACAGGAGCGTGGGCTCCACTGTGCCCTGTGCACCTTCACTTGGCCTTCTTTGGCTGGGTCTTTCTGCAGCTAATGAGCTGAAATCCCTCTCCTATTCTGCAGCTCAGGATTCAGGGTGGGAGCTAGAAGTAGAGGAAAGCCTTTGGAGCTGCTGGGTGGGGAAGCTGGCAGGCAGCTGGGAAAGGTCAGGAAGAGATAGCCTATTAACAGACTGGCATTCACAGAAGCATTCGCTTTGCTACATATGTTGGTTGAGTTCCTAGTTTCATAATACTTCAGAAACCACAGAGCCTGAGCCTGCAGGAAGCTCTCTTGTCCCTGTCCCTGTTGAGAGCCCCCAACCCTGAAACTGGAGAAAAGACAGACAGAAGGCCTGAAGCTTGAGGAGCTTGTGGAGGTGGTGCAACCTCCCACAATGCTTCCTCAGGCTCTAAGGCCTGGTGCCGAATCTCTCTGTTCAACATGGCACCACAGTTTAATTAATCACTCTCCTGTGGCTCTGTGGAGCTTGTGTCGGTAAATGTTTCATTTCATTAAAAAACAAACTTCTCAAATGGAAATATTCCCTCACCCTGCTTTCAAAACTCTTAATTCAGTCTCTGCCAATGGAAAGTTTAATTGGCCACTTGGGTCAGCCTATTTTTCCAGTGCTCAGCCCAAGACTCTGACCCAGCAGATGTGGCAACTTGGGGCTCAGTATGTGGCATCTCCCTAGGCAGCCTGCTGCCAGGGAACAGAGCTGTACCTGGGCTCACAGAGCCTGCTGGCAGGGCCACACTGTCCGCTCCCATGCATGAGTCTCTCCCCCCCCACCTCTTTCCTGTCTGCACCCCTCCCTTGTGCCCCACTCCTCTAGTTTCTCCTCTCATGCTGCCTTCTCCCAGATCTCCGAGGCCTGGGGAGCAGATGTGAACAATTCCATATGCTGGGCCAAGGAGAAACATACCAGTGACAGCGTTGCCAGAAAAGTGGGATATTCGACACTGTACTTGGCTGACAATGACAACTGGAATGAGACCGGCTCCCTCAACCATCAGGAGGCCAGAACTTGCATGGCTGACCCACAGGCCTGGCTCCTTCCCAAGGTACCTCAGCAAGGATCAAGATGCACCCACTCAGCAAGGCTTGGGCTGCTTTTTGTTGTGTAAACAGTAGCTCAGTCAGATGGGCTGGGTTAATGTATTAAAAACAGCATTCTCAGCTATAAGAACTTTGGCTCTATCTATCTATCTATCTATCTATCTATCTATCTATCTATCTATCTATCTATCTATCTATCTATCTATCTATCTATCTACCTACCTATCCATCTATCCATCTATTTTATTTATTTGTCAGTCATGGGGCTTGAACGCAGGGACTGGGTGCTGTTCCTGAGCTCTTTGCTCAAGGCTAGTGTTCTACCACTTTGTGCCATAGCACCATTTACAGTTTTCTGGTGGTTAGAGATAAGAGTCTCAAGGACTTTCCTGCCCGTGTTGGCTTTGAACCATGATGCCCAGAGCTCAGTTTCCTGAGTCGCTAGGATTACAGGTGTGAGCCACTAGCACCTGGCTGAAAATGTTAAGAATTTTAGCAAAACAGACTTTCACCGTACCCCTTATGATAAAGATGGGCTTGTTTCAGATTTTACAAGACATTTTCATGCTTTTGCTAAAAAGAAAACTGCTATTTCCTCTCTTTAGGTGCCTTTCCTGAGACACTGGCTTTACACATACTCACGAAGGATGGACCGACCCACGAGCCTGCCGGGCAGGAGGGCGGCCTGAGGAACATTGAATTTGCAGCCCAGAAAGTGAATGGGGAAGAAAATGCCTGGGAATAGTTTTCTTTCTTTTCCGGTTTTGAGTGGGGAGGTCAGAGGAAAATGGAAGAGCAGAAGCTTTGTCATCAGCAGTTTGGCACCCAGGCATCCTAAAGGGAGTCAGGAGCGGAGTCTCCACCAGCTGGTGGTGTCTGGCAGGGGCTCTGCTCACAAAGCGCCCTGTTCCTAGCCTTCAGTCGGGAAAGAGGCTCAGCACACATAGTTGCAATGTCTGGGTTGGTCCCAACTCTTTCCTCTGCCCTTGCAGCTCTGTGGGAGTAGCGTGCCCTGCTCTCTGGAGATGGTCCATGTTGGAGGTCACTGTCATGGGCCCCAACTTAGTGGTACTTAGTCCTTGGCAGCCTTGCTGTTCAGGGGTCTCTCCCTTCAATTTCCTCTTCCTAGATCCTCCATGGAACCTCTCTAACATGAGCATGGCCTGTAGTACCAGTTCTGGTCGGCAGCCTGGAACACAACAGCTGAGATTCTCCAACCAGCGGACTAAACTCACCTCCTGTTTTTATGACTGCTGTGCTTTGGGAATCGCTTTTGCTGGCTTCCTCCAGCAAACAAGAGAGACCATGTTTCCAACTCTCACTTTTAAATCCATATTCCGCCTAGTTGTGAACAAGATGGATTCTTGTATTCATGTGCCCCTTCTCTCCTTTTTTGCCCCTCCCTTCCTTCCATCTTTCCTTTCTCTCATTCCCTCCCTCTTTCCTTCTTTCCTTCTTTTATTTTTGTTTTTGGCAGTACTGAGGTTTGAACCTGGGGCCTCACTCTTGGTAAGCAGGTCTACCATTTGAGCCACATACCTCCAGTCCTTTTTGCTTGAGAGTCTGGCACTCTTAGCCAGAGCTGAACTTGAGCTGAGTTCCTCAGTGTAGCTTGGATTACATATGCATATTATCATGCTGGCTTGTTTGTGGAGATGGAATCTCATTAACTTGCCTCTCAAATAGCTAAGATTACAGGTGTGAACCACTACACCTTGCCATACATTCTGTGTGTGTGTGTGTGTGTGTGTGTGTGTGT